CTGTTTATAAAAAAAGTACGTTGGTGAAGGTTAATCATCCAGGATAAAAATAAATTGATAAAGCCGTTGAATCTTTTCTAACTAAATTCTAATACGTAAACGTTTCAAGTACCATCCGGTACCTTTCATCAGTACAAATGTTTACAAAAAGCTTTTCACAAATGGTGATCGTGACTTCACTTCATTTCTTTACCAGATTATTCAAAGACATCCCTCTCAGAATTTAGCTGCTGTCTGTCAAGAAGCAAAAATCCATTCTGTTGCTCTTCTCTGGCACATGAGTAGTAGTTAACCGACGGAAGATTTTTCTTGACTAGAGAGTTGTAAAGAATCGCGTGGGGGAAGGTCGGCGGCAACGAGGGTCTGCATCATGGTTTTCCGTGCAGTGTGATTACCTTTTCGGCCAGACAATCCTGCCTTCTCAGCCATAGTAAACATGTTCAGACAGTATTTTATTGTGAAAAGATCAGATGGTAGTGGGTGCCCATATTAGATTCACTTTATGTGCAATCCTGTACATTGCAAGTGACACTGAAGTGGAATAAGAAGTAACAGCATCACGCGCAAGCAGAGCTAGTTCTGGCGCAGCTATGTGCGCGAGAAACCCATGCTCTCTTGTTATTAAACCTTGCGCGAATAGCCTCACCATCCGACTCGTGGGCTGCATCTCTCTTCTCCTCACCATCAGACTCCAGGACTGCATCGCTCTTTCCCTCACCATCCGACTCGTGGGCTGCATCTCTCTTTTCCTCACCATCAGACTCGTGGACTGCATCTCTCTTTCCCTCACCATCCGACTCGTGGGCTGCATCGCTCTTTTCCTCACCATCCGACTCGTGGACTGCATCGCTCTTTCCCTCACCATCCGACTCATGGACTGCATCGCTCTTTCCCTCTTCATCCGACTCGTGGACTGCATCGCTCTTTCCCTCACCATCCGACTCGTGGACTGCATCGCTCTTTCCCTCACCATCTTACTCGTGGACTGCATCGCTCTTTCCCTCACCATCTTACTCGTGGACCACTCCTTCTCCTACTTCACTCTGGTCACCTGCATCGCTCTTTTCTTCACTATCCGACTCGTGCGTGAAACGCCATGGAGGCTTGACCCAGACTTAGCTCTTTCTTCTTGACGACATCAAATGCTGCGGCCATGTCGTCTTCTGACCAACAGCGTCGTTTCAACTTTGAAGCCATTCTTAAAAATATGATTAAGGAAAGATTATCTGAATCTGTGTACCTTTAAAATACGTTTGATTTATTCATCGCCTCAATAAGGGGTTTTCTGCAAAAACACCCCTTGCAATGAGTACACGTGTAAGCAGAACGTCACACGATGTTTTACTATATGGTCATTTTAACAATTCGTCTTGAGACTGGGAGTAACAAAGTTGTGGCTTCATGATGGAAGACTAACTGCGTGTGCGGGTGGTGGTTACCGCACAGAGACGTGCCAGGAACCTCTCTTGTTGGCGGCCAGAAGTGGCTGGCGGAAGTATGATGATGTATTGACATGTACCTATGGAGTGCCATGCATTTGTTGAGGACAATTTATTGAGGAGCAACATAATAGAATAGATCAAAACCCATGTGTAAACACAGGTAGTCTCTTACTAAATCACTTACTATAATAATAGGAGTACTATAATGATAGGAGTATATTCTAGTTACGTATTTCTAGTTATATATTGAGCAGGAGTATAGTAGATTGCATTTATACAAAAAATCAACACCTAAGAAAAATAAAGTGATAATGTTTACTTACTGTTTTCCGTGGTTGTTTGTAGTGGATGTTAGTGGTGATGGTAGGTAGTCTGTCCAGATGTTTCCGACACGTCACGCATACCCATGCCGGGGGGAACCTTTATATCCAAGACTGTGAAATGTTGCCAGCAGTCAGTCGGGAAGTTTTTCGAATTTCTTTGAGTGTTCTCCAGGCACAATACCTGTGCACACGCAGGTTTTTCCAACCCCTGAGCGGCCGCGGCCTTTGTCTCGATGCCTGTTACATAGGAACACACCTACTAGGATACCCAGCCGCTTTGTACTGGCAAAGTCTACTGGCCTGTAGAGGGTGGGGTCCTCCTAACTGCACCCAGCTTCACATCTAGTCTTACCTAATCTATAACATAATCTATACATGAAAAACCTTCACGTGTGTGGTTGGGTTAACGTTGTTTTACCTCTGACAGCCTTATTCTAATAGTATGCTTTGGTGACACTGTTTACATTTGAACGTTAGTTGGAGATAGGCACATTAGAATAGCATGTGTACTTAGTCTAGTTACAGTGTGGTTTGCTTGCTCGATATTGGATTTACATTCAGAGCATATTATTTTTTTATTACGCTACATCGGTTGAATCACATAGAAATGTTAATTTTCAGGACGCAATAGCCCCTCTTGATGTACGCTTCCCGCAGCGTAACCGTCAGTTCTACCACGGCCGCCCCCGGGCCATCTCCTCCACCGCCACCCGATCCGTCTCCCTGATCCATCCCACTAGCCGCCGATACGGCCATAGACTACTAGTATTATGCCTGCCTTCCGTGCTCCTGGACGGGGAAACCGCCCCACTAGAAGGGCATCTGTGGACTCAACGAATGACCTTCTCCACGTTAGAGAAATGGTGAAACGTCTGCAGCGTCAGTTGCTATAAATAAAACAACTGACGTCTTTCTCGTCTTGAGGTTTTTTTTTTTTTTACTTGGCATTTACATTGGTTTAATTCAATTTTCAGCAGCATGTTTTTATATATCCAGTTGCCAACACGTTACCGCTCTAGCTGTTTAGCTTAACATCGAGACTTCGTCACACATAAAAAAGTTCACGTCCAAGATGACTTAGTGCATGACATCTCATGGCCTTTACATGGACAGAGGTCGTTTCGCTTGCATGCCGTTTGCAACTTTTCCAAATGAATGTTTGGTAGTTGGCTCTCTCTATGTGGTGCTGAAGGCTGTTGCTTGACGGAGGCAAAGCTTCACTGCTCTGGTGCTTCTGGCAGAACATCCAGTATCTCACCTCATCTGCTGTGTGACCTGCCTAAGGAAGTTATCCTCTTCTTTATCCACGAGACCGAAGATCCGTCCGTTGAAGGACCAAGCATTCTCTAGCTTTTTTTTTTATTGAAAAAAGCAATACAAATACAAGGACGAAGTGGCACTGAACTCAAGTGTACAACTTATTTTACAGCCCCACTTAACATTTAACATAAATACAATAATCATACAAATAGTCATAAACATAAAGTAGTACGCTGAAAACTAAACCCCTATACATACAGCAATATATCAACAAGAGAAGTATTATATGATTTATATGTTACAAAAAAACTCTAGCTTTGCAAGTGCTTCGCGGAGTAGCTGAGTATTTTCCTGACTGAGGTACTCAGTGATGTACAGACCCGATCCCTCCGACGGACTTTGCAGAGAACAGGTTGTTGCGAGCGCTGTGAGGCACAAACTCGATCTGTAGCTTACGACTACTATCAGGTTCCATGCGTCCCGGGAGAAGATGAGCACGATCGATGTCGTTCTCAGACAGGGTGACTTTCATCTTGTTTGGGCCTCCTCTCGTGTTTCATAATACTGCATCATCCTTCGTTGTTGTCGTTTGCTGTAGCTCTCTCTTGTACTTAAGAGATTTGCTACATCTGTTTTGCCCATTTCTCCTCTGTACTCCGTGCACATTTTCTTACTGTACCTCTCTTTTCCTACTGTTTGTCGGCTCTTTTTTCAGTTGAACCTTCGCCTCCGGAACTTTTGTCCTGGCTGTGCCAAATGGGATGTTGTTTGTGCCTTCGAAATGCCTGTTGATTGATTTGTAGAGCTGCCCAGCAGAGTCCTGAGCACTAGATGTTCCGTTTTATATGTGATATAAAAAGCAGGGTACAAAACAAGCTGGGTACAAGTCAAGATGGCCGATCGCTTAAATATGCATGACGTCCTTTAGGCATTAATGTTGTTACTATGGGTAACATAAGTCTTAGCAGACCTTATATCCTATTTCTTTTTAAATTATATCATTATTCCCAATGACACAGCGAAACCAGCGTATTAGACTTTAGCCTGACTAAACTGCGCTCCTGGCGGCCGCCGCCCGTAGGTTGTCGCCCGGGGTCATTGGCCTCCGGCAGACAGCTTGTGTTAACACAGGCTAATGCGACCTCTAACCGACTTTGGGAAGTCAAATGTGATCCTTCCAGTGCAAAGTCCGAAATTGACCATTTCAGTGTGACAGCGTGGCAGTCCGATCCAAAGGCTGTAGCCGTGCTCTGTAGATAACAATTCAATTCAATTCAATTCAATTCAATAACAGATGACAAGACTACGATTTGATAGTATCACTAACGGGGCGTTGTCGCTTTGCACGTGGCGTTGATACTTTTGCAACAGGTCCGTAATATTTGACTTATTTACTTTACCTTCTACACACTTCTAACGTTGCCAGACTGATCGGCCTTGTTTAGACTCAATAACCAATTACAGATCGCTAAATACCTCGGAGTCCGTTAAAAAATTCGACGTTAATTTTTGGTATTGTTCGTGTGTATCGTTAATGTGACCATTATTACTCGAGCAGACCTGTACGTTGTCATAAAATGTGGTATGTGGGTACGTAAAAGATATAAAAATAATCAGATTAATTGGCCAAAATTTCAACAGATCAAGACATTGCAGTTAAGCTTTTAGGTTTAAAATCTTAATTCATAATTAAATTTGAAAATGGATGGAATTTATTATATTAATACTTTGGAAGTTGACTAAAAGTGAACATCAGGGTTATTAGCTGCACCGTCGCGCCAATCATTGATCAGGGGTCAACGTACTGTTACGCAATCATCGCTTAGTCTTCCCTTCAGCCCTTGCGAGGTAATTAATATCCATAATGGCCAGCGGTGTCTGCTAAAAGATTATTCTTACTATTTCATATTTTGTTGTTTCCTTTGTTCTCGTATTTACGGTTGAAGTGTTATTCTATTTTATCTCAACACAGAAAATGGACACAACGAATCCTAGGTACTATTCTCAGAACCGCTCCTTTCAGCACGACCTCGGAGTTGAGCTGCTGCAGCAGTACATGAGGTGGGAGGAAGGCGACACAGTTCTGGACGCGGGGTGTGGTACGGGGGAAATCTGCAAGTACATCTCCCAACAGCCAGGGGTCTCTTCTGTGGTGGGCTTAGATGTGTCACCTGACTTCGTTAGGTATTTCCTTTTTTTTTGCAATTCGCGTATAAAACTTTGATAGAAAATGTATATTTCTAAAATCGATCAGCACAGTATGGTGCTCGTAACGTGAGACTTGAAATCTGTGGAATTCCGATACCTAAAGCTGGGTTTGTGGATTTTTAGCAAACTTTGATGTTGATATATGTTGTTTGTTTTTTGTTGTTGTTTTTTGTACGCCACGCCCTGCTAGAAGAATAGCTGTGAAATATGGTCGGGCACCTAAAGGAGAGCTGTTCCTAAATTAGCCACAATAAGCATTATGGACCGAATTGTAATAATACTAAAGACTGCTTCTATTTTCCACAGGTATTCCAGTCAACAGAACTCCTCCCCAAACGTTCTCTATGATGTGTCCGATATCTCCGATGCGTCAACCATTAAGCCAGAGTGGCAAGGCGCCTTCAGTAAGGTAGTCTCTTTCCAAGTGCTACACTGGGTGAAAGACAAGGCTGCTGCGCTGAAAGTGCTGCATTCTTGCCTGAAGCCTCATGGAGAAATTTTATTTTGGGTTGGCATCGATGTAAACAAATGGGGCAAAATCAGCCCGGGTATGGCTTCCCACCCCAAATGGAAAGTCTACTTGAAGGATTTTGAACCGAATTTGTTTCCTTGGCCTTCCAGCGACCTCGTAAAAGAAAGCCACAGTAGCTATCTTCTAGAAGAGTGTGGTTTTGAGGTTCTCTCCTGTCATCTCAAAGAACAACAGTACTCTTTCACATCTAGGGAACAATGGAAGAAAACTATGAGTGCTGTTTTCCGCCATCTTTGCTACTTACCACCAGACAAACACGAGGAATTCTTGAATGACGTCGAGAAAATGGAACGAGATGTCCTACTTTTGTCAGGCGATTACAAATTTACGGATAAGAATCTGGTTATTCATGCTCGAAAGTTGTAGTTTAATACACACTGATAGTAGGTTTGTGAGAAAATGGGTGGAAGGCAAAACAAATAGGTGTGTTGCAAGTGAGACATTAATTTTTCTGTTCCGTACAAGGATTAGGTGAGCTGAACTGTCCTGTACAATAAATATGAGGCTCAGCCCTGCCTGACACATTGCTATACACTGTTCATTTGCAGCTGTCTGTTTGTTGACTTAGAATCGGAAGGTTCTGGGTTCTAATCCCTAGAAGAGCCTAGTATAGTGCGAGGGAGAGGCACTTTATACCTATGTCCAGACTCAACTCAGGTTAACACAAGAGGATTACCTCATAGGTTTGCTAAATAATATTATACTTTGAAAAGTATAACATTGTTTTGCAAAGCAAAAATATTAGAAATATAAATAAGGTCTTTTTACATCGTGCTGTATTGGTAATTTACATAAACCATCATATCAGATTATGACTTTCCTTATGAAAGAAAATCGTATACATACTAACAAAGAAGGTCGCTGTAACATTATTATGAAAATAACCCCCTGGTTTGCTTGGTATTAGTCCAGTAATATTCCCTTAATTTACTCTACTCGCAATCGCTACAAGTAAAAAAAATCCCACCATTTACTACTTTAATTTTACAGCATCATTGTAAATAGAGTTAGCGTCCATCCTCTGGAAATAGAGAGAGACCGGTATAGAAGATTGCCTTCATGTAAAAGAACGTAAATATTGTAGTGCAAAGGCTGTGGAAGACGAAATACATTTTATTTCAAACTGTTCATTCCGTAACAGCGCTCGAAATTAGTAGACTATTCAAACTTCTACGATTTATCCCAATTTCTCTAAACTTACAGACAAAGAAAACACTATTATTCTTTTATCTTCACAAAACCCACAAATTTTGGCAAAGGTAGGACATTACGGCTCCCATGTTTTAAAGAAGATAATTCAAACCCTTTTGACATAGTTTTAGACATAGTTATAGTTCTAGACAGCTACCTTCATCGTGTAGACTTTTATACTCTGTTTCAATGTTATTTTATGTTTTGTAATTACTAATAACCTCCGGGCACGGATTTTGCAATAGACTTTCATTAACCATGCAAATAAAATTGATATAGACGTTCTCTCTGTCCTAGTAAGTCCTTGTCTTTTAGGGCGAATGTAATTTTAGTTTTAAAAAGCCTAAATTCAATTAGACTAGAGACGCCCTCTAACGAGGTAACACTTGGGTGCAGGAAATGCATTCCGCAAGGGGAATAGTAAGTCTGTATTACCAACAGAAGACTCTTCAAAATTGCTTCCAATTTAGCATTTAGTTACAAGGAAATAAAATCCGTGACTGAATATAGTACTAATAACTGTGCCCGAAGATAACTGCATAATATTTTTCATCTTATTTGAATTTGATTGATGTATGTCAACAGGTTTGAGCGTCCACGTCTCCGGTACAGAACCTAGGCTTCTTTGATTACATTTCCCGCCAACACACTCGATGCTACTGATGTTATGCTGTATTCTATTTCAATGGCTAAACTTCTTTGGCAGTTCAGTCTATTGCAGACTATCTTGTGCGGGCCTCTGGTGACTTCTTTTGTGGCTCGAAAGTCACGGCCTTAGTTTTGCAGACCCTGCTGCATACTCTGCAAGTGTGTTGTGTAGTTAAAGGTGCAATTAGTGCTGCAGCCTTTCGCAGTCTCTGTTTCTTTGCTGTAGCTTCTCCTCTTCTAAGCTAAACTATACATTACATTATCCTTTACCCCTGTCCGGAGCCAAAGCTCGTTACAATCTAGTTAACTGCAAAATGGTGTGCAGAGGACGGGTACATCGGTGTCAGGGAAGTTGACCTACATGTACACTCCCTTGTAGCAGTTTAAAAATACACACTTGACCATAAAAGTCTCGTGGCCTCACCAGTGGGATCATCAGCTGATTCCACCCTTCGACGGAAATTTCGGCCCTTAAATCAGAATTTCCTCAAAATGGCGGGCAAGCAGCGCTCTGCACCACCTCCCACTGGTATGTAGTCTTGTGTTGTCTCTGAGAGATCTGAACAGAGACACTCAAGATCTTTCAAGTCCTTGTTTTTTTCCCATTGCTGCTCTTTGACTATCTTCACATCCACCTACCAGGATTATATTTTGGCCAGGTTGATTCTTACATTTTTGCACGTCATTGGACACGTCAGAGACGAGCGAAAACATGCTAATCAGCAAGTATATTGTCCACTATGGTACAAACAGCTCTGATGGTGCATTGTTCTGTTTCTGTGCAACCGGGACCTGCGATAAGCTATGTAGGTTATTGTTTATTACTGAGCATTTGATATCGGCAATTTGAAAACTTATTGTCCACATAATGTGAAAAGACATCTATGGTTATTCATTGCTACATTTTCGCGCGTCAATGGACACTGATATTCATACATCAGAGACGAGGGAAGGCTTGCTATTAAATCAGCAAGTTATTGTCCACTATGGTACATCAGTTCTGATGGTGCATTGTTCTGTTTCTGTGCAACCGGGACCTGTGATTAGCTATGTATGTTATTGTTTATTACTGAGCATTTGATAGCGGCAATTTGAAGACTCGTTGTCTTTTAATGTTAAAAAAAACACTAATTTTATGGTTATTTATTGGTACTCCAATTAGCCTATCATAAAATTAAAGAGCTAATATTATTTAATAATAATTAATGAATGAAGACCTTTATGCCACACTTGGCTAAGTACAGGTCACAACAAAACAAGATGAATGGACACGGTTAACAGATACAAAATTAACTAAGTATCGTTATATAAATTCAACTTCTCGCTTTTCAGTTATTGCAGAAATAAACGTACAGATCTGTTTTTCGATGGGTGGTTTATCTAGTCGCATAAGGAATATGAATTTTTCTACACTACTTAAGTGCGTGAAATAGGGGAATAGGTGTTGTACAAACATATACAGTTCATTTCTCTCTTTGCTATACAATCCACACTCTGTTACAAAATGGCGTTCGTCTTCTATTTTGTTCAAGTTACAATATTTACATAATCTGTGTTCAAGGGGAGTGCGGGTATGTCTTCCGATTTCAATATGTAATCTGTGGCAGCTTATTCTAAGTCTTGTGACAGCATTTCTCACCCTTATATTTTCGTTACTGAGATATTTTTCTTCCTTATATGTGGTTTTAAACAGTCTATAAGATCACCATCGTTAGTCCTCTGCCAGGTTTTCCTATGCAATGGCCGATGTGATGTAAATATACTCCCTAAACCTCCTGACAACTCTTTTATTTACGACAGGGAAGCTATTGGTACCACTTCTGTTGTGGTTCTCTATTGGGTTACTTTGCCCATGTGAGGTATCTAAACTTTTCTGATTCTGTATGCAACGTGTGTACGTGGTGCATTTGTAGGCCTTGTGGCCATATTTGCCACACTTGAAGCACTTGATGCTGAAATGGAAAGGAGTTGCAGTAGTGATTATTCATTTGCATTTAATAACTGGAGATGTGCTATGACTCGATGCAGTACAAAGGGGAAACATTTATTGCTGTATTTGTGTTCATCATATAGACACTCAAATGAGCATCATTTTTATACCAAAAGTATGATCAGTACATTGTCATAATTGTGTTACATACTAGTATATAATATCATAATTGTTCAAAATGTTGACCTTGTCCTTGTATGGCCCAGTTAGTCATGCAAGGTATAATACATACAACATCTAATTTGGCCACTTCCCCCTCCTGTAAGCATTACCACTAACCTCCCTACACCTATATATAGTCTGTCCCCCTGGCCTCCTGACACAGCTGTACTCTCCCTGCCCTTCCTATGCTTACAACTACTCCACCCTGTAGGACATATTACATAGTGTACCCAATTAGTACCCCCCCCACCCACACACACACAACTTCGAACAGTCATTGACACTGTGAGTTTGTTGAGTCGCCTGTGCACTGGAGGATGCACAGGTGCCGCCGAATTTGAACGTTCCCCCTTGAATAGAAGTGGCGGCGAAGTTGATCTGTATCGTCGGCAGTACAGAATTTAAATGACAGGTCGGCACAGTAACTTTAAGTGCGGGGGTTTCGCTTTTGTTTCCAGTGAGAATGTCACACATTTCATTACCCACTACCTTCATAGACCCCCCCCCCCTGGACTGACCACCTCCTCCCCTCCCTCTCCTGGCCCACATCCCTGGCATCCTCTTTTTCTCCATTACTGCCTCCGTCCTCTTCTCCTGGTCCTCTGCTGATGCAACTCTTTCTCATTCCTCAACACAAACCGGCGGGGTGGCTGACAGCTCCGCCGGTGTAGCTCGACCATGTTGTTGAGGGGAAGAGAGAGATAGCTAGCAAAACTATTGTTGCCATCACGACTAAGATGCAATCCATCACGTGCATACATCTCTCTGCGAGCCTGGCCGCCATTATCAAAGAAAAACACACCCTCAAGTGAACATAGGTTAACCAAAAGATAATTCAACTCAGAGCGTCTCCCGTCATTGCCCTCAGAATGGAAACGACGCAAAATACTGGTAATACGAGTAACAACAGAGGCAGACGGAAGCGTAACTTAAGTCACTCAACAGTCCGGCTGAGTGGACGGTGCATGGGGAGGTTGTTGGTACCCACATGCAGGAACACCCAGTATAAAGGGAAAAAAGTGCCATGAGAGAGGGTGACATAGTTTGCCAGATGGAAGCTCCTTGATAGAATGTACAGGTATTGTTGTCTCACTGTAACTTTAGACACTCTGTTGGGTAAAGGCAGCCCAGGATTAGAATTTCATACATATGACTGTAACTGGCCTGATCGCACCACTACTAAACTTCACAGTTTTAGCTGGTACTAGAAACGCATTGAAGAGGCATCACTGTGGCCCAATATTGGTATGATCCGGGGGCTGTGAATTTACAAGAGGTAATCCACCGTAGTGTGTGATTGCCCAGCCGACGCTATCGAAATTGTCCACTAAAAACTGCTGGTTAAGAATCTTTGCAAAGGTGTTGGATTCAATGT